ATGTGACTCCATACGTCTCTGTCATGATTCAGCTCTAATTACAGATTCACTATTGTAGAAGACCCACATTAACGACATTCAGCAGTGCTGCCGGGAATTATTGCTACATCTTGTCGCCGCCTACATTAGACTTTCTATTTGCTTTACTACCATAAGGAAATAATATTAAAGGGGGATTCTGGTATTTTTAACTTCTTTCCTGTATCTCCATATAACTATTTTGTGGTCTTTACGGATCATTGGAACAAAACATGATGTAATTGTTTCAGTAGAGAGATGGATACTGTGTAATTTTTCCATGTACATTTCAATAAATAAACTATATTTTCCTTGGAAGATTTTTTGTCTTTTTTGTATAGTCTAGTGGTGCATAGTTTGTTTTCTTTGTTGCATGAACTTGGTTGTTTCAAGGCATAGCTGTTCCAGACAGAACACAACAGCACAAACAGACTAATCTGTTTAAGCTGTTTTTTGTTTGTGTTTTTAAAAGAGCTCTAACTTTGACAAAATGGGAATTTCTGACTATTTTCAGCCAAGATCCACTTCCAAAGTTACCTGTCTGCTGAAATGTTCTGGTCCAATTTCAGCATTGTAAACACACACACACACAGTATTCAGTCTACATAGGGAGCCACAGCCATTACAGATGGGACCTCAGGAAGTGGGTTCTGCTAATGTACTCTACATACCCCCCTGCCACACTTAAAAGACCACTTGAGTTTAGTACTAATGTGTCTAATGGAATAAGATGCTGCTTTACTCTCTGTGTTAGACCTGGTGAAAATTGACCTCTGCATTGCAAACTGCCCCTCAACTCTGTCACTTTCTGGATTTGCATACCTGACCTCTTTTATATCAGGAAACAAACGTTATCAGACGTGTTTTGTTGAGATTGTTGTACAGTATGACGCTATTTCTATTCACTGTTGCATTATTCAAATAAAAAGGTGCCTCGTTTTTATGCAAATGTTTTATTCTTTTAACACCAACAGCCTCAGTCCTATCTCCTGTTACCAGCGTCAGGTCTCACATTTCAACAGTACCTATGAATGGTATAAAACCCATGTAAACACACTACTTTGTTTGTTACACCTTCACTGCCGGGCACACAGAAGTAAAATGTGCATCATGTACTTGAGCCTTCCTGTCTGGCTCTCACTATTCCTGTGTGTTCCCTCTGTACCTGCACTGGCATCAAACTACAGCCCTGATTCGTGGCCTCCATGCTGCCTGGCCTGGCAACCAGAGACCCTGCTAACATCACCCCCTCCCTGTCACATCCGTATGGGCCCAGTGCCACTCTGCCATCGAACCATTTCTCCAACTGTCCCGCTCTATGAGGGCTTTCATGTCTAGTGGGCCATGTCATGGGTTTAGCTATGAGTTCACTTCCCAGGCCGGGGTCCAGGGGATGTTTAATTTGGCCTCCGAGCTCCAATCATTTCACTGAAGTGGAGGTGATGGCAACATGTTTATGCTCTGCTCATGTAGAGGAAGCGTTTGGACTTGAAATGCACACTTATTTGCAGAGGGAACAATTATGCAGTTGATTTGAGGAGTTTGCAAACTTTCAATATGTGCGGTGAAAGTTAGTCAGTCCCCTTAAGAATTCCCTAGTCATTGCCATGGTTACCATGACCTAAAATGTCTGTTTTTGCTACTTTTTATTGATTCATTCATTTATTTTTACTACTGCACAAGCGCTGATATTATTTGTAGGACTTTTAACACTGTAATAAAACCAACTTTTGGTAGATTTAGGTGTTTGTTTTCTTACATCCCTTCTGGTAAATTTCCATTTTGAGAAGCCAAATAAAACCGGTACTTATCCTAACTGCCATCCAAGTTTCACAAACCACTGCACACGCTCATATGAACGCTATTCTGTGGTACAAAAGACAAACTACACATTACTCCAATAATACAGCTTGCTCTTATTGAGAAAAGATAGCATTTCCACATGGTTAGTTGTCAGTCAGGGGTACAACCGGGTCAGAGTCAGACTGATAGTAAAACATCACTGCAGCAGAGCAGAAGGCACCAATGTTGCTGGTATGCAGAGATGCTGACATGCTAGCTTTGCCAGACTGGAACCTCACTCTGCATGCCCTGTAAAAAGTTCTCAACCTCTGTGACCGTTAGTGGTGGCCGTTGTATATTGCCCCTCAAAAGAGGGCCCATTGAGACCAAGCCGCAACCTCCAGTCTGAAGAAATGAACAGATGCGTACGTGATGAGAAAACTGCAGTTCCCTGAGTGACCACTTGAGGCTGGCTGCAGAAGCACTAGATAAAACTTACACACTGAACCAAATATGCCATTTTTGGGAGCAAAATTAAACACGTTTACAGCCTCTTTCAAAAACACGGTTTGGGCTCACATGACATGTGTCTGCATGGTGGATACTGAGGAACTCTAACTGGTCAACAGACTCAACACAATTCAATTTGGAAATAGTAAAGCTGACCATTCTTGGACTAAAAAAAGGCACACATAATTAACAAAGGTTAGACTGTTAGATTTATTACTGTTGATTTTCCATTTATTGTTATTAAAGTTTATATTTCATTACCATCCCCAGGCCAGTTATTTCATCAGCTTCAGAAATGCACATCCAATGAAACACATAATAGGTCCACTGGTCAGTTTTGCTTTGGAAAAATTGCAAAAAAGGTTTGGAAACATCGTCCATGTAGATTCTCATTTATCCAGGTCATGGTTTTCTTGAAGACTCCAAAATCAAGCAACTGGACTACTCTACACAGTCAGTGTAAATTTTTATAATCCTAATTTTATGACTTTCTCCAGAAACTGATAGATGTGAAGTTATGGGGTGTGTGTCTCACTTAAGACTTCAAGAGTGATGTCATGTGAATGTGCAGTTACTGTGTGAACGGCAGGACTCAAAGGTTGTGTGCCTTGCAAGCACACACACACACACACACACACACACACAGTCACAGTCACACCTGATTTTCCCTCCAATTTCCCCTCCTTCCCGCCCCTCGTCCTATTTTGTTCAAACAGTTCAGCGGGGATTAGTCAATGATAAGTGACATCAGGCTGAAAATGTGGACCTTCACCTCATGAGTCAACACACACATACACACACACACATACACACACACGAGATGTTGAGTCATGGCTGTTTAGCATTGCCACAGAGGCAAAGAAAATGACATCATCTCAAAGCGTGTCTGCAGGAGGGGGGCAGCTGCACAGGGGGCGGCTATTGTTTGGTGTGAAGGCAGCTAAGGTGTGGGGGGTGGAGGGGGGCATTTAAGTGTGTGTGTGTGTGTGTGTGTGTGTGTGTGTGCATTCCTTCATACCCCTTCATACCCATGCTTTATGCTTGTGTGAGAGCATTTGAGTGTGATTCAGAGTCGACTGAGGCAGACTCTGACTCACTGTCTGTCTGTCTGTTAGAGGTGACTTTCCAGGTCTGTCTCCTTTTTCCCGCCAAAAAAACTCCCCCCGGTGTTTGTTCCTCTACCTACCCCCCCTACCACCTTATTCAACCAGTTCTGACCTTTGACCTTCTGCCCCTGTTGACACAAGAGGCCAGGAGAAACCACAGAGAGCACCTCATGCCTTTGGCCAGAAATAGAGCTTCTAGAAACTGTGTCATTTGTGTGTGTGTCTGTGTGAGTGTGGGTCTTAGTGAATGCCTGGAGGTGTTAAAAGAACATCAACATCAGGCTTTACTGAGCTGGTTAGCTAAAAATGGACTTTTAAGAGTTGATTTTCTTACTTTTACTTTTATTTCATGTAATTTCTACAGAAAGAAAAGTAAAAGTAACAACAAAAAAGTATAAATAAAGGGTAAGGCATAAGACACAATGCAACATTTTCTTTCTATTATATTTGTGCCTTGTTTTCTAAATGCTAAAACCTTAACTTAATACTGTTTTAACAAGAAATGCCCACAACTAAGCGTCTTGAGAATCAACCTGCATGTGATCTACTTTGTTACATAAAGTTTAAGCTCCTTATGTTACCTCTGTGTATCCAATTGTCTTAGAGTTTGATTTTTGAAGCAGAAGTAGGTAAGACAAGGTGATTTAAAAACACGCCAAAAGGCTGAGATTGTACAAAATTTTATTAGCCATTCTGATTTTTAATAGATGGAATGACAGCTTGTCTTTTTATTTCCTCTCTTGTAAATCTTGTCATTGAGTTAAATAACAGTCATTGAGTAATTATGAGATGACACATTTCTTAAAAAATATTCTTCCTTGTCTGCTAAAAAAGACTTGGTCTGTAGGTGTGGTTGATACTCAGGAAACAACCGTGTGAGTAAAGGCACAGATGGGCGACTATTGCATCATTGAAAAGCCGTAAGAAGCACATTATGTGTTCACACTTAACACTTTCGGTTTATGTTTCTTTTGTAACAGTATAACTTTACACTGTCTCATGTTAGACCACAGAGAAGTGTTGTGTTTCTAGGTCAGGAGTGGATTTCAGCAGACACTTAACATTTATGCAACAAAAACTGAGATCTGGCTAAAGGGGTCGTTTCTGTCACAGGTTTCAATCAACTCTTGGTTCAGTTACCACAATGTCACATGAATGACTTTGTCTTATTTCTAACTCCATCCTACTATATCAGCATGGTTAAAAAATGCTGCTATGAGCTGAAAAGAGATCCATTTCTGCTTGTTAGTTGGTAGTAGCACGACAACAGCCAAACCATAGGAAGATGACCTACATGGTGGAAAATATAAATTTTGGCGAAGGACTTTTTGGAAAATGGATGACAGGATGGCTTTCCAGAAGTGAAGCCAAAATGTTCAGTGTCCCTGTGGACTCACTGCACTAAAGCTTATAAGGCCTGCCCCTTCCATTGTAGCCGATAAAACATTGAGTATACTAGATAAGTGAATGTTATCTCTATCATGCTAATTGGTCTGATTTATAAGCAAGTCTTCATCTTTCAGAGAAGCTATGTTTTGCTTATTTAAAGCTAAAAGAAGAGATGTGATGTCTAAGTTTGCAGCTGGGTTGACATTTGTGGGCAGCAGAGTATACAGTAGAAGGAACAACAAACAAAAACAAACAAAAAAGCATACATTATTGCAGCGACTATTATAAGATGAAAATCTGACTTGGTAGCAGCTTAAGAACTACAACATACGTATCTCAGAATATCTCTTCCGCTGTAGACTGGTTCCTCCAAATGCTGATCATTGAGCCCATACTCTGGCTCCAAAACACGTGACCAGTATAATATTTTGGGCCCCATGATAGCATTGTTTTAGCTTCATTATTTTACAATAGGAAAAGGTGTAGGTGCGCCATTTACGAAAAGGTTCACTTGAATTTTTAGTGGAATTTAAAAAGTCTGTATCAGTCCCTTTTTAGCGATCATATCTTTTTATAAAAGAATTTTCCACTGTCATGACAGAAATGCAATGGGATTGAGTGGGGAAAAAAAGTAATGAAAACTCAAGCAAAGCAGAGCTGCACAGACAAGAAACAGCAACAAGTATTAAACCAATTAGTTGCTGGTTAAACATGACCTAGTTTACAAACTGAGTGGCATTTTAGATGTTTAATAGGCAAAAGAGGGACAAATACTTTTATTTACCAATATATGAGAAACAATGTCAAAGGAAAGGTGTCAGAAGACGATAAAATCACACGCATTCACAAACTGCACTGTGCATTAAGTCCTTACACGTATGCACACTCATGTGTGACACTGGCCACACATGCACACACAGAGTGGTGCCTCTTCGGGCAAACACACATAATTGTTCAAGCCCCTCGCTCTTACCACTTACTCTTCTCTTGTTTGAAAGTCACTGAATAATCTTGACCTCCTCAGTTCACGAAAGACGCACGAGAGCCAGTCTTATGATGTCATCAGGGTCGGAGGGCAGGACTGTGATGCCTACACAACTAGACTGTCTGTGGTACTCGAACAAACCCTGACTTTATCCATCCTGACCTACTGGTCTAGTTATGTGACTGTAGAGAAACAAAGAAGTTGAAGCCACAAACATGGACAGGATGACTTTTCTGACTCATGAAAGTTTCAACAGTTTACAAACAATAACCTGACGTCTGCTTTTTTACAAAAGTTTACAACTAAGAACCATTGACTTCCTTTACATGACAGGTTTTTTTAACATTTGAGCGCAATACTGTCTCATTTAAAAGCAAAAAAAAAAAAGTGATGTGAAGAATAAAGACAAAATTACAATAGTTCAGAATCAATTTAGTGTTTAAGTCTGTGGATGGTGTTTAGTAGCCTTTTTTTTTTTTACGACTGCTGATACCCCTTATTTTTTTTACATTTAACCCTAATAATATTGTGTGTGATTTTATACAATCTGTATGGACAGCGGGAATCGCAAGAACTCACAAGAACCCACAGATTCATGTACAATCACGCGATAACAAGTTGTCTCTATAAATACGGTCACATAACCATATAAGCAGTAGATTGTGTCATTCAAGAGGACGAAATGCACTTATAGACTTCTAGAATCAGCATTTCCATGGTGCATTGGGGTAAAATGCTGTCTAAAAACCTTTCAGTTGTTTGTCCCCGCCTGTTTGATGTGAAATACGATCCGCAGATGGAGTTTTTTATTTTGAGAAGAAGCCGGATGTTTTATTTTGTGTCTGTGCCCAACTTCCTTTCCAGCACGGGTTGATCTGTGCTAAATTTATCCGGCATGCTCCGGCGTTCGAAAAAAATAAAACTCTTGCGATCAGCTGCGGAGTCCGGCGATCTGCAGCAGAACGGAAAGAAGCCGATGGAACTTGACGCATTAACTTGAATGGTTATGATCAGCTGCAATTGGCGGATACAGCCTTTTCGTAGCCGTTTCAGATGCGGTGGAAATTGGGGGTAAGACTCGATGTACAGTAGAAAATTACAAGCTGCTTTTCACGTGTCCTTATCGCTTTGACTGTTTCTATGGTGCTTATTCTGCAGGACAATTTACCCCAAATGCTGCAACCGCGATGACTTTTTCTTGGAAAGTGAGGTATGACAGAAGTCCAGCAATCTATTATTTATCAGGCAATGTAAAAAAAAGTTCCGAACACCAAGTTGGCCTTGTTGTGATACTTTCTTGAAAGTCTTGACCATTAAGGGTGTAGGGAACTTGAGAGAGTAAATAGTGGAAGAGAGACAAAAATAATGTGACAAAAACAGCAAAGAGGAAGAGAGAAAGCCAGAGCACTCTTACACTAACCAGGTCTGATAGCGTGTTAGCCATCAAGTTCCTGATTAATGTGGCTAAAAATTTGGCCCAGTGACTGGACAAGTTTCTTTGTTTTCTAAACATAACACAACACTGTGGTTTTACTGAAAAAAATGAGAGGACACAAGAAGAGGTCAAAATAAAATTAAAGTTAGAAATTGGGAGAAAATTAAACCACATGTTACACTAAACTTAAAATAAGGTGTAGAGGAATCCAACTGTGATAGTGAAACATGTTATAGTAGTGATACAGGAGGAGGAGGAGGAGGGTGTGTCTCTCCTCACACAAAGTGCCTTTGTCCCTCTGGCCCTGCACACGTCAACAATGGGTTTGAGTGACAGACGGCTCCCAAAAAAACCTCAGGGTCCGCAATGGCGCCTTTGTCTCCTCAACTCGCATTGTGGTGGACAAAGAGTGCACTGCAACTGGCAGCGTGGGGGGAGGCTACACGAAGAGTGTAGGTTTACATGCTGACACTTAACACTGAAAGCATAAATTTTAATGAAGACGGTGCATCTTAATGAGTGAATCTGAATATATTTCAATCACAGAGTCAATGTAACTGTTAGTTTTGTTTTACCTGCATGCAGACAGTTTATCGGTGACTTGATGAGACTTGATTTCTACAGAGCAGCTTTGTGAAGCCTCAGTCATGCAGGATTACTCACACAGGTGTTTTCACTTTTCAGCCTGATTAAACCAGAACTGAGTGGGCGTGTCCTGATCTGACTGATATCTCAGGGCCTCTGGTTAGTTTTGTTGCACCTGTTTGGGCGGGGCGATTTACATCCCTGTGATTCTGATGAGCAAAAATGACTAAAAGCTCTGCTGGTTATTTCGTCGGGTGGAGTACCAGTATTTTGAGCAAAGAGACGAGGTATTTCTGGTGCACAGGGTTTAAGTCTAAAAAGGAGTCAAACCAGACAAACACTAATACTAATCATATACAGTATGTACCGATTCGAGCAATCCGAGAATCAAACTGTTCCTTGAAAAGCTGCTAAATGAAAATTCATTGTTGTACCTTTGCTTTATTATTTCACTTAGGCCAGGTAGGTATACACTGTACATCATGACTCGCATTACTGTGTTTTAAGTTGAGACAAATCTCAGCGTTTGCTGTGCAGTGTGCAGACAGGCAAAAGGACCAATCATGGCCTAAGAAGCTGCCTCCTGACCAGTTGGATGGAAGGGCTGCCTGACAAACCTGATTAACCAAAGTTAGGACAACATTTTTAACAAACAGTGACAGTTGTTTTCCACCATGATCCAGATGGAAATAAGACATTACCTCATAAAAGGCAGCACAAAAACTTGGAAAATTCTGAAGTCTGCTGTCCCTAACATTGACTTAGAGACCCACTCTGATGAAAATTTCTTGTCGTCTATGTGCTCATATGGCATTTCTCTGATGCTGCAGGACATATCATGAGAAAACTAAGAGTAAAATTGCATTTCTGAGTATTTTTTCATTCAAATTGCTGTAAACCTCTCACAGACCCAAATGGCAGGTTCAGACACAATGAGATTTCCTACGTCACAACTCCAAGCTCCGCCCCCAGTGCCTCACTCTGTAGGCCAGACTTAGAGAAGTAGAGAGGACGATTGCTGAACAAGCATGCTTGTAGCGGAATGCAATGCTCAGAAGAGTAAGAAAGCTAATCATGATATTAACTTTCATCATGCCCCCAAAGACATTAGTGTCCGAGAGCTGAATAACTCGTATATTACCTGCCACTTCTGCTGCACCGGCAATGTTAGGCTACAAGCTAGCGTGAAGAGGAGTGTGCAGAGCAGCGCTGTTAAAGCCAACAACTCAGTGGTGAATTGCTAATGAACAAGCGGAGCTCTGCAAAGGAGAACACTTTAAGTAGTAAAAAAACATGATTGGACTGGGACTTTAAGTTTTACTGTGTTCAAGTCCACAGGGGCAACAAAACAATCATAAGACACATGTAGCCTTATCAGAACTGAAAAAAAAACATGACACAGAGGTTAATCCATGAGTTGTCACTACACCTCAGCCTCGAATACACACTGAAGGAGAAATAAATGAACCTCAAAGTGGATTCAGTTCAACACAGTTATAGCTTTTGCACATTTGTTTAGAACACAGACATATCATTTCCAGATTGAACCTAACTTTGATTGCTGTTATCGACACATCTTTTACAACATTCCTGTCCATATTTCAGTTCATCCTTGGATAATGAAGGACAACACTTCACACTACTTCACATCCAGAAACTGGAGTCACCCGCCTATGAGGAGACAAATCTGTAGTAACCATCTGTTAAAGAGCGAGTTTTTGTGCCTGTGCACTAAACACCTTTAGACACCAACACACCCTCTGTGATACTATTCCCATGAGTGAAACCACAGAAGGAGATGCATGTGTTCGAACGAAGGGAACATATTGGTAACTCGAAAAGCTCATCTTTTGATAGCAGTCACTTAAGCATGACACAGCTGGCCGATGAAATCCTCTCTCCCTGCTCCCTTACTCCTCTGTCTCACTCATCCCCCTGATCCTCTGGACCCTGCCTGGGCAAAGTCCCCCCTGTCAGATGTGGCCCAGCCGAGTGTGGTGGAGTTTGCCTGGCTTAACGCAGTAGGGACCAACACTGGCTATTGTGCGTGATCTTGCAGCGCAGCAGGTAGCCGGCAGAAGCCGCATGGCAGGAATCTTTGAAGAGGAGCCAACAGGAGCCAAGTTTGTGGGGACAGTCGGGCGTACAGAGGAGAAAATGGGGCAGCAGGGGGGCCAAGAGGGAGCCCCTAAAGCAGCAGTTTAATAAAGATATTTAATACCTCAGAGAGGCCCCACTTTGACTCTTTGAAGGAACATGGGGATGAAAAAAGGGGGGGCAGACAGCTGATTGTACAGCCCAGACCAAGAGGGGAAAAGAGGGGGCAGGGAGGACAAATGAGCAGAACGATTAGCATACAGGTTACTGTAGTACCGCTTTACACAGAACACCATTGTTTACTATGGGAGCAACTGCACTGAAGTCCTGTAGTGTATAACACAGCAGAACACTTAGACCTGGTCCCTACTGTCCACATGTATGCAGTTATTTTTGAAAACTGAGATTGTTCTCTCCTTTTCATAAAAACTGGACGACAGTACAACGACAAAGAAAGCCTGGTCTGAGAAAAGTCAATAAACAGGGGACTGAGCAGACCTCCAAATTGATAGAAAACAGAGGATGAAGAGCACAGACGGCATTTCATTTTAAGCACCAGTTCGCTTGGACAACGTTAAGACAGATGTGTATTTCTCCCTACAGGATAATTTAAAGGGCTGCACAAACATATTTCAGTAAAAAACAAAATATAAAGAAAGTATAATTACAAAATATGAAGCTGACGAGCTGTGTTTTGTAATATACATAAGTTCTGATGTGGGCGCAGAATTTGTTTTTGTTTGTTTGTTTCCTGTTATGTAGTTGTAGGAAAATAACCTGAAGTGGACAGACCATCTTATGTAATTGTTTATTTCTGTTTTGAGTGAGGGGCAGGTACAATAAGCTTTGTCTTCTACCTGCTCCATGTGCTGTGCTACATTTGTTCAATGCCTTTTGTATGTATGGAAATGCTTGAAAATGGCCATGAGCGGGATAAATAAAAACGAACGAACATAATACAGATTTCATCACCACAGACTCACGGAAAAAAACAGTCAATATTAGCTGTGGGGCCAAACTTACATAAGAAATATAACTCTGTTCTGTACAACCTGAGAGAAAGGAAACTGACCTCTGTTGCGTTTAGAATAGACACCATACTTCCTTCCTTCTAAGAGGGCAGAAAAATGCCTGTGAACGCCTCAGGGTACGGCGGCTGCTGTTTCAAGGTTAGTGCATATTATTGTTTTTTTCTGTTCTCAAGATTGGTCAAACAAACACGTTGACATGCTCGAGTTTAAGAGTAGGAATATAAGACTTAAAAAGATCCTAAGTAATTTGAAAAATCTGAAATGTGCGACAGGAGAAACCGTGAGAACAGGAAAATGTGAGGATGTAAAAATGTCCACCTCTAGGCACTGCTCGGCCTACACGCATGTTCACACGGATATATCCACCCTCGTCTGCGTGCTTTACGTTCTCCACCGAAAACACATCATTTACTGAATCTCAACCGTCTGTTTCCACGCTCTCAATGCTGATGCATTGTCTGCCTTGACGCCAGACAATTATCTGCTGCTCCCATGTGAGATAATACATTCCCCTTAAGCCCACGTTTATTAGATTCCACCCTGGTTGTATGAATATGGAGGAGGGCTGGCAATGGGGGCACAATGCTCTGCTCTAGTCCGAGAGAGAGCATGAAGCCTGGTCATGGTTTGACAATTCTGCCCACAGCCACAGTAAGAGACAAGACGGCTCTTTCAGCAAGAGGGGGGATAAAGGCTCTGACTATTTAACATTTCTTTGTGTATTGCTGTGTACACCTGTTGTGTGATGTTAATCTTAATTCTGACAAGACAATTTCTGTAAAGGTCAGACACTTCATATGACAGTTTGGTATCTGTGACAGTTGCCAAAGTTGACCACAGATTTTGGTTTTACCGCAACCTTTAGTGAAAATGACTTGGAGTAAACACCATGCACATTTCCTTCTAATATGTCTGCTTATTGTTTTTGTGTGCGACACAATTGCCCAACTGGATAATGGGCTAATAAAACCAAGCTAGAAGAGTGAAGGTAGTTGTAGTCCAGTTTAATTGCCTAATAAAGCTATCGCCATAACTATACATGTAAACTAACAAACTGTAGCGTTTCCACTAAGCAAGTCCAGTTTGGCATCAGATCTTGCTTGCATTTCCACTGACAACTTTACCCTTTGGAGCTTCGTATGAGAATAAGTTGGCTGAGTGACATCTTTGACACAGCTTGACTTGTATTTCAGCCTGTATGTCAGAGACTCTTCAGACCATAGTGCATCACACCTCTGTTTAATGTACTGAGAGTCTCAAGGCTTGGCCAGAATAGACAGAAATATGATTATGTAAGGCCTGTTTTGGCTTTGTATCACGTACTGTATTTTTATGTCACAAATATCTCTCCTTGTGCAATCTGCCTTTCTCTTACTGCTCAGCTGGTATCTTCGAATAAATAAGCACTTTTTTTTGGCAATTGTTTCCTAAAAGACCGACCCTGACACTGCAACACCCAAAAGCACTAATATGAATAAAAGCGTATGTAAGATAGAGTCATGTTTCAGTGAGGTAAATAATTCAAATAATAAATAATCCAATTGCATTGGACAAGGATTTAAAAAATCCTACCAGCTCTGGTATGTAAGTCATAACTGCCTGTGCAGCAGAGAATTTAATTCAAAACTACTAAAGTAAGAAATATGATGCAGAGAGGCATAAAATGTTATACAACCCAGTTTCAGCTTCTCCCTTACATGTTTCAGCTCACTAAATCCATCCTCTGCTGCAGAAACAACTAATTTATCACCTTGAGGATCTAAATGGCCTAGTTTACTCAGGATCCCATTACCAGCACTACTACATCCCTCACTTTCCCTCCCTGTCCAGCCTTGATTTGTTGCCCGTCTCCTCGGGGTGGGCATTTGTGCCTGGGGTATGTAACACTATGTACCATTTGAGGTTTTAAAGTCTAACATTGCTCTCTAATGGAACATAGAAACTGTCCAGAAATCTAATGATTCAGAAACAGACAATTTGCTGCAGTTTTTCAAAAAGAGAAGGTGTAATAAAGTTCTAATGGGCAACTTTTCAACACATGGCGTACAGTTGTAATTACACAGGACGACTATTCATCAGATTAGCTTCAAGATCTGCACACTTAGCAACTGCTCGGATTACATAGCTGTGATATGTACAGTAACTGTCTGCAACCAGAAAACGTGGTAAAATGAGCCACTTTGCAGGAGAAATGGGAAGAGATGTGACTTCAATGTCACGTAGCACAATAGAAATACACTATGTCACATTAAATTGTGCAACACAAATGCGTTATTTGAAATGGCCATACTCAAGATTATGTGATAAATTTCT